GGGGCAGAAAACAACATTTTTGGGAGCATAACCCACCCCCACAGCAGCACAGTGGAGAGGGTCGCACCCAAAGGTGAAGCGGGTTTAGGGTAAATAATAGAGCATTTACTAATCGCATGCAAATATTGGCTGACCGTTGGGTGACTGAGAGGCGGGGAAAAGTATCAGGGTTACGGATAGACCACGCATTTCTATTTTATTTCCTTTGCCTCCTCTAAAATTATGACTGAAGCCATAAACCTTTACACCAATTAAATGGACCATTATAAATACATACATACACACACGCGAGTGCCATCAGAACGTTTCCTCTACGGAAAATGAAATATATTGAATATTTTTAAAAAATAATCCGGTTAATCTTTCCCTGTAAGTACTGCCTCTTACAAATTTGCACGGCTATTTCCTTAATGTAATTGACTTGATCTAATATGCAGAATTAAATATTAAAGAGGAAGAAAGCTGTTAATAATTGATACTGTTAATTCTGCTACCCATCCTTTAATGGCAACGAAAGGCTCTACTTCATAACAGATTTTTATTCGGTTTGGTTTTATTTTTCGGTCATATCTTGGATCGTTAAAATATAACATATTTTTAAACGCCAATGTTGCTTTATCTATTCACTATACACAAATCCCCAGACAGGAAAGTGAATAGGAAGAGGTCCTGGCACATCTTTTCTTTAAAATCCAGCAAATAAATTAATAGATCCATGCGCCATACACAGGGCAGAAATTCATTATTGCGAAATACTTTCAAAAATTGAAAGAGTCAGGGAAATTGGTGGGAGCACTTTCTGCAAAACGGCTCCGTCTTCCAGCCCTGGCAGGCTCTCAACATCAGCCCAAATTAAACTATTATTTAAAACAAAATATGCGTCGTAACCACATGCCATAGAAACCACACAGCATCCTCTTAGCGCGGGTCCCTGCACTTTCTTATAACTTAATAACATTTTCTTGGACAAGATTTGTATATATTCAATTTCAGGGACATTGAGCACAGAACCTGGATATTTAATTCTTTCAAATCATTCACCTCACGGTTGCAGTTTGTTCTGGATCTCTGCCCAGTACAATAGAAAAGGACTTTCTTTTTGTGCGTATGTGAGTGTGTGTGCCTGTGTGGCTGTGTGCAAGTTAAATGATAGGAAAAAAAAGAAGTCACCATAACATCCTGCCCAAGGAGGGGAGGAAATCGTGAGGGGCGAGAATACACTGGATTTTTAATCGTACGGTTGCAATTTCAATCTCTGCTGCTCTTCCACGTTGAGAGGGGTGGAAAATAGAAGTTAATTCAAGGGGAAAAAGGCTGTGTGTGGTAGTGTGTCCTGCACAGGCTCCGAGGGGCTCCGTTTGGAAAACATGGGCTTTCACCGCAAAATATTTACCGTGGGAGTGAAGGCAATTTCTCCCTTTGCCCCCTGCCTGGTCTCCGGTTTCCCTTTCGGATGGAAACCAGGTACCAACCGGCTCGGTATGCGGGGGGAGAGACTGGTTCTGTCGTGCTCAAACGCCATTGCATTATTATTGTTATCATTATTATATTAATTATTCTCGTTATTATTAATAATGGCATTATAAATAGCATTATTAATAACATAATTGAGAGTATTATTAAATATTTTCAAGGCGAGTGTCTTTTTTTCTTGTTTCAGAGCATAAAAAGACAAGGCAGCTCACAGAAAAAAAGCACATGCTGAAGTTTAACGGTTTCCCCAACCTGGCTACATTACAAATAAAAGCTAATTAAGTTGGAAGCACCCCCTCTCTTTTTTTTTTTTGTAACTAGGAAGGAGCGTGGCTTTGAAATATTCATACCCCGCACCATTGCATTTAATAAACAAACAATTTTAAAACCCAAATAAACAAACACGAGGCAGGAAAAAAAAAAACACCAGCACCAAAAAGACGAGAGGATAGCGAGTCCGTCCCCGCACCGGGGCTGCGGGCATGGCGAAGCCCCCGCTGCTCCTTTCTTCCCCCACCTGAACTTCTCCTCCGTAATTTCTCCTCTTTTCCCCCTTCTTCCTCCTCTTCTTCTTCTACCGCCGCCCCCCTCTCCCCTCTCCCTCCCTCGCTCCCCGGCGTTGCCTGGCTCCCCCCGTCCCTTCCCGTCCCCACCGCCCGCACCCGCGCAGATTTCCTCCCGCTTACTAAAGGGGTCTCTGCTGCCGGAGCCAGCGCTCTGTAGCAAAGCAGTGACTCGCTCCGGCTTTTGTCCGCTCCGGACTCTGCTTAAGCTCAGAGACGACGCTCATTTTTATTTTTATTTTTATTTACCGGCAGAGACAATGCCACCCCTCTCCCCTCCCCTCCTCTCCCCTTCGGTTGGCATCAGCAAGCTGAGAGTTCCCTTTAAGCCCTGATTTTAAACTTTACGCAGCATTGTCCCCTTTTATTGCACCTCCTCCAGCTTTTATACTGTTTACTTCCTCACTTTTATAACTTACTTTGATCTGTCCTGTCTTTGTCTTCGCTTCCTTCACAAACTTTATTGTCCTCGAAGCTGGGCCTTTGATTGGAAACGATCCCTTCCCTTGCAGCAGAAGTTTCTAAATTGTACTCCTGTGTCCCCTGTTTATGGACATCCCCGGGACGGCCCAGCAGCGGCTCTGCCTTGACAGAGCCCTGCCCGGGGACGGTCTCTGCTCTGGGCACTGGATCCAGCCAGCTCCGGAGGTACCTGCTCTCAGATGGGACGCTTTGATGTTGAATATATGGATGGTAGACGGCAGGAAGGGTACCAGAAGAATGTGGATTCAAAGGAGTCCAGGAAGCGCTGAAAACTGGAGGTTTTGGCTGAAAACTACAGGAGGGGAATTCTAGATGCTCATTGTGCCCAGCTTGCCTGGAACTTGTATATTGCCCAGATGAAAATTTAGCTGAAGGCGAGTCTTCGCTCTCATGACTTATAATAGAGTCGACATAATAATTGCTAAGAGTCCCAGAAATGGACATTCTCAGACATCATACAAAGCACGGTTCAATGAAGGGAAAAAAATATATAGGACAGATCTAGATTTGTACTCTACCCCCTTCTCCAACTTCCCAGCCAACAAAGTACAGTTGGGCTGCTGTGTTCCCAGCTCCCAGCAAAATGATTGGTCAAACTTTTTTCGTGTGCCTGATAAAGCGTCAGTCTCGGCGTAAATCAATCGCAGCCGAGGGGGCTGCGCTGCGCTGTCATCCGCCCTTGCATTCCATATCAAGGATGGATTGTTTTATGTTTATGCAATGTTGCAAAACGTCAGGAGTTTCGAAAAGCCACCAAACGGGCAGAGCTGGGGATGAGAGCCCTTCCTAGATTTGCTCCTCAAATATTAAGACGGGGTCTTGAAAGGGGGGGGTGTGTGAATTTTTTTAATGATTTTTTTTTTTTTTTAAAGAAAGATGCTGATGTGCTTGCTTTGCCTTTAATAACCACCATGGGGGAATATAGATAAAAGCTATTCTTACCCACTCGGACTCCAGAGTATGATAGCAAAAAAACAGAGAATAAGTACAAACCACCCACCCCCCCTCACCGGCCGTGATTTCATACACATCCATATGTGTGCGTGCATTACAAGCATATATACATAAATGCCCATGCCCATGCGTTCTTTGTGAATAAAAAGATGGATCTAGGTAGCAAGAGCGATGGGGAGGGTGTTATAAATAATTAACCAGCTGGTAAAGGAGAATGGATTGTTAACGTGGTAAAATAATGTGGATAAAAATGAAATTTAAAATGTCACTGACATGGACGTGGCGTTGCAACTTTGACCGGCAAGCTGCGGCGCCGCAACCCCTATATATATCCAAAGCCTGCCTTACACTTTATGCTTATATATATATATATACACACACATACACACACACACACACATATATATATATTAAAATTATCTCTGCATAATAACGCATGTTTGCATGTTTCGCCGCATCATCTCAGGGTCGCTTTGCTTGGGCTAAAATTGTTTCCCACATTGCTGAAATCAGAAGCCTTCATTTAACTTTACAAGGCCAGTAAAATACAGTGCGCCACTGATCCGGCTTTGTTACAGAATGCCTTAAACTTGTGACGGTTAAATAGTTTAATAAAACTTACATTAGCTTTCTTTGATTTTTATAGCCTTGAATTTATTGCCTGTGGAAAAGAAAGGGGGCAAAAAAACGGAATCCCCCGCGTTTTCATTCCCCGTTCCCCCCACCTCTCATGTATGTGCCCACGGTGCGTGTCCGTGTCACACAACACACACACCCACACACACACCCCTCTTGCATTTTCCATGTGTTTTCGAAAACCCGAGGATTTCGGGCTTTTTTTGCCTTGTCCCGACGCGGGTGATTGGCGCGGGGGAAGAGCTCGGTGCGGCTCCCAGCCCCGGTGATGCGGGGAAAGCGGGGCCAGTTTCCCCAAGCTGTGATGATAAATCCGCTTATTGCGAGATGATTCCGACGGCGTCGTAAATGTTAGTTAAGGAAAAGGTGCTCTCTGTGATCACAGCAAAAGTGTTTCTCTGGACTTCAGCTGTAACAGTCTGGATCAATTTGCCTCCTTTAATCTATCACTCCGCCGCCCTTCTCCCTCTCACCCCAGCACCGAAGGATATTTAAAGTGAAGGGCAAAGAAATTTCTAGGAATGATAAATCATCGCGAATCCTTCCTGAAGTGTACAGTCATGGAGGGCTATACTAACAAGCTAATAATAACATTGAGGGGTGCTAATAGCCGCCTGAAATGAAGGAAAAATAAGAGTTCGCATTTCTCTCTATCTGTATAGGAGTGTGCATGTCCATATGACCGTGCCTACACAAAACGGATGTGGGAAATTGCTATCAGAGGTGTTTTACTGATACTGGAAGATTATGAAGGAGCTTAAAAACCTACACCCAAAGCCTTGAATTTCCCCTTATTGCTATAAACGGTGCTTTTCTATAAGCATCTGCCCTGCAGCCCGATGGTGGGGTGCGCTTCCCCCTGTCCAGGACCAGAACCTTTCTAAAGCGGACGCTATCAGGAAGCTATCCATTTTCATTTAGGGGAAAAAAAAATAATAAATTGAGAGGTTCGAGATGATGAGCAAGGAGAGTCGGGGCTTAATGCCGAAGGTCAGATTTATTTTCCATTTTTGCATCCATCAGAGTAGCCAGAGCTCCCCACCCGGCTCAAAATCCTCCCGGTGCTGGACTAGCAGCTGCAGTTTGCAGGCTCCTGCCAAGGTGAGGTGTGAGGAGTTTGGGGAGCCCTCTCCAGCCTCTGGGACAGACCAAACCGTGGGGAAATGTCACCAGGTGAGTACTCCCAACGGACCTGCAAACTCTTCTTTCCCTGGGGGTTTAATCCAAAGTAACTCCGCTTCAACCCTTTCGCGTTTAAACCGGTGAAGGCAGAGAAATCTCATAGCAGTGAGCAGCGAGGGGCAGGATCACCGCTCCACCCAGCGCATCCCACACTAACAGAAGGTTGTGAGAAACCAGGGGGAAGATTCCTGCTTTTTTCCAACTTTTCACATTTATATCTCCCTCTTTTTTCGCTTTTGTAACTTCCCTAAGAGTTGTGGAGGTTTTGAAATGGAAAGACCCTGTGACATCAGACATGAAATACGAGCTGGTTGCTCACATTGTCATATTTCTCGGCTTTATTGCCTTTCAGAAATGATTTTTAAAAAATCAGACTATTTCACCAGAGATTCAGAGGGACTCTACAAATGTTATGAGAGCTCGGGAAAGGAAAGGGCTGATTTAAGTGCGTTGTGGAGATTAAAGTCACTTGGCGCATGGAAATGTGTTTATACAACTGATGGATAAACAGCCGTGCTGGTAGCAGGGTGTTGAATAAGTATAGATGAAATTATTGAACGTTAATTGAAGCAAAACACCTGTTCTCTGTTCGCTAGATAGATTGGCCATGTCTTACCTGTAATAAATAGATTGTTGGAAAAAATCCTGGTGCGCCTCCTATAAATAACGATGAACTATGTCAGCATGTGAGTATATAATTTTCTGTAGTATATAAATTTAAACCACGAAGACTCTTAGGAGTGTGGCTGTGAAGCAGAAGCCAAGGCTTTTCAGATCCCTGGTGAATGGAAACCTCACAAGAAGATCTGCAAAATGCATTTGCTTTTGGTCCTCTGGAGGTTTCAGTTAGTTCAGTAGTTTATTTTTTATACGTATCCTCATAGTTCATCTCTTTGTAGCCTTTTTTGAGGGGGGCCTAAGGCAAACTCCAGCTTCACCCCAGCTCTGTCCGCTTGGAGAGCCCTCGTCATGCGGTGCTGCCTGTTTCGGGGACACTCTACAGGCGTTCATGTTTTCAAGCCCCAAATAGAGCCCGTCAGAAATTACATGAAAAACTCTTCTGTTGGCGGAAAAACCTTGGAGAAGGAAAAGTCAACGAGAAAGCGACCTCGGAGCATTTAGAGAGTCTAAAAGGGTGAATCTCCGGGAGAGGGGAGGCAGGATGTGCGAGCTTTGCTCACTTCGCAAACTAGATTAATTTTAGATATGATTGTTGTGAGTTGGTCAAGGGAAGTGGAGCTGGAAAAAGTTATTCAAAAAAAAAAAGAAGAAAATAAAAGAAAAATAAGTCCGAAATGGAAACTTTTTCCTGCTTTCAGAATCTGTGCCAAGCTTGTTTGGCTGTGAGGGACAAATTCGGAGTATTGTCAGCTTGCAATGGAAAGCCAGGGGCTTCTGAACTCAGATACTATTTATAAATAATCTTTGTTGTTTGTGGAGAGAAGGTATCATTTCCAAAGAGCGCTTTGAAATACACAGCTGCCAAAATCCATCCGTAACAAACAGCTCTTTGGGTTGGCATTTCTAAACTGAAACCAACCACACATAAAATGTTTACAAAATATGCAGATTTAAAGTCTGTGCAATTGCTACTTTTTACTGATTTATAAGTTTGAGCATAAGAAAGAGCGGATGAGCCATTTCTTACCGGAAACATATTTAAACACATTTTAAAGATGGTTGTTATCATTTATTAGAACTGGCACCTTCTTCCAGCTGATTTTTGCCTTTTTATCACTTCTGAAGAGAAGGTGGAGGAGACCTGGGGGTGCGGAGCTCTCTCCCCCCCGGTACATGGACAGGACAGGGCTGAGGGGGGGGTTACCGGGATCTTTACACCCAGAGGCCGTCGGGGTGCAACCTGCATCACTTCGGGAGTATTTACTTCTTTAGTTTGGGTTTGGAGTGGAGAAGGATAAACTAAGAGAGGAGAAAAGCTGGGAGTGAACTTCATGGCTATGGAGAGTCTGGAGACCAGATTCTGAGATAACCCAGCCTTCAAAGGGTTGAGCGTTTATTTTAGGCGATAGAAAACATTCCGAAATTATAATAATAATAACAACAACAACAATAATAGTGATAATCACAACAACCACAAACGAATAACTTTTTTTGTTGTGTTTTTTTTTAAGAACCAGGAAACAGAAGTAAAACCTCAGCATAAAACAAACATAATTTATGAATGATACATTTAGGCAGGTCTAAGGTTATGAAAGAAGCTTCAGTCACAGACCCCTCCAAATGCACGAAAGCGCAACAACAACAACAAAAAAATCCCTCCTGAAGAGTTAAACCTTTAAAAAAAGTGAAATAAGTTTTTGTAGCCTAAAAGCCGAAGGATCTACCTTTGCCATTTCCTGTGCTAGCTCTCAGTTTGAATGCTGCCGTCTGTTAAAAATCCGTAAGTGGTGAGGAGGGAGGGAGGGAGGAGG